TTTACAGGTCATATTTTCACAAATGTAAAATAGCACTCAATATGAGCACTTTAAATGCATCTGATATTATTTGTATATTTCATTCAACCATTTCAATATCTTAAATTTCAGTTCCGTCAAACATGGCTCCAGGGGCTGAACCAGACAGGCGTTTGTTCTTCCCTGATCTGACCACAAAATTCTCCCTTGCGTGACAATTTTGAAAGATGTGAAGATCTTCTCATCAGAGTTAGGAGAAGTGGATTCCTGCAGAGTTGAACGCATGCAGCAGTCTGAGGATGATGAAGAAAAGACGATTGAACACATTAGAACAGTGAAGCCTTTAACAACCACATGCAGCCTGCCGTTTATAATGTACAATAGACTCCTGTCATCCACACGCAGGTCACATTCGTGTACATGTTACATGCCAAGTTCTAATCTGAATTTTTTGAGTTTTCCATTAGTTGGTAAAACCTGGTACCGATTACTTAGAAGAAAAAATCCAGAAAAAACAACAACAAAACTCTTCATTGGGGTTCAAAGCAAGTAGAGTCACGCTGAAAATGGGACATAAATAGACCGCATGCCACTGATTGGTCAGGGAGTGACTCATTCTGGCTCTTATCTTTACCCCAAGTCTGAAAAAAAGCCCCTGATTGAGCAGGTAATGCCATCGCTTTGATGTGCTCGACTGTTGCGTTTGTGTCACATACAAATTACATCACAGGACTCTTGAGCCAACCATACTAGAGGTGCTCAATTGTAATGCAAGAGAATAGTCGAGTAGGTAATAGTGGAAAAGAGGCATTTTTTACTATGTAATTACAAAGGAAGAGTAGGAAAAGCACACTAAAAGCTACAGGCTGGAGAATGTCAGCTTACACCATGAAGTCATCAATGTCCATCGACCTGGCTCTCTTCTCACTGAAATCTGCTTCCTGAAGGACACTCTCGATTTTTTTGCTAATGCTGAAGTCAGCTGGGACTTCCTGTGAAGATGCACAAAAATATTCCTGATTAAAAGCAGAGAAACAGGGAGCGGGCGAGATCTTTAAAGAGGGCTGAGGAGTCGTTTATTTAAAAACTTGACTCACCGTATTGTGAAGAGAACAGTGAATTCTGTAGTTCTTCTCCAGCATCTGCTCCACTGCAGCGGACCTACAGAACACAAGATCACATGACCATCTGCTCTTGACCACACCCACTTTTGACTGAACAGTTTGAGAGCTACTCACTTAAAAGCTGCGTTGAGGGTTTTGTTTTTCCTTACAAAGGCTATTCTGACAAGGCCGTCCCACTCCTAGAATAAAAACAACATACACCTTCAGTCTAACTTATATTTTTAATGAATACTCCTCCACAGTAGGATTCGTTAACAATCAAAGCTCACCTGGAAGTTCACTGGAGGAGGAGGATTTCTGGGTTCTATCCTGACGACACTCGACTCCACTTTCGGAGGGGGGCGGAAATTATTCTTCCCTACCTGATAACATTGAAAATACACATTAACACTGAGACATATGGTCTAGAGCAGCGGTCCCCAACCCCCGGGCCTCGGACCGGTACCGGTCCGTGAGTCGCTTGGTACCGGGCCGCAAGAGTTGAGGTTCAGGTGTGAAATGTGGGTTTTAATCGGTTTTCAGCGTTATTTTGTTATCGTTTTTATCATTAACTCTGTTTTCCTGGGTCTTTTCACGTGTGTTATGAATATTTTTTCTTTTTTTCGGTACCGGTACTAGTTTTATTTTGTTGTATTTATCCGCGACACCTTAAAGGCCGGTCCATGAAAATATTGTCGGGCATAAACCGGTCCGTGGCGCAAAAAAGGTTGGGGGCCGCTGGTCTAGAGAGTTGCTGTTAGCATTAGACAACCATCAGAGAGAGGATGCTGACCTTCATGAGATGGTCTACACGAGCCAGAAGCTGTGTGTTGATGGAAAGTCTGCAGTACAGTTTGTCTCCAGGCTTGGCAACCAGGCGCATGGCGAACTCTCGCTGGAACATCAAGACTGCACACCTGGAGGAAAATAAATAAATAACAGGCACTTAACACAGCAGGGATACGAGAAAAGACGATCAAACTTCCTCTATGGACCTCCAGCTGTGTCTCACCTGAAGAAAGGCCGGTGCAGCAGGAGCTTGAAGACAAAAGGTGATGAAATCTGCACAAAGAGAAACTGTGTTTGGTCCAAGTGCAATGCAAGACACTGAAAGACTTGTGTGGATTTGGCAGAAACACGTCCTTACCTGGTAAGGTAAGTTAGCCACACAGACGTCAAAGAAAGGCAGATCTGTTTTTAGCACATCTCCAATTAATATCTGAAGCTTGGCTTGTAAGGGTCTGATGGAGAAAACAATAATTTTATTAGATCACTTTATATTCAAATACGACTTTTAAGCACAGTATATGTAAGAGCAGCACTGCTTTGTTCACTCACGTGCACTGTACTCTCTTCTGAAGTTCAGCCACCAATCTGCAGTCCAACTCGCAGGCGACTACCTGCAAAAACGGCGAGTCACTTTTAAAAATCTGCAGTCACTGCAGCACCGAACAAACACCAAAGTGAACCGAAATACCAGACAAACTCCGGGAGTGCGGTCTGTGTAGTCTTATGGCAGTTTTATACTTTCCAAGTAGTGTGAGTTCTTGGAGCGAGACCCCCGACAGTTTGAGGCTCTTACTTTTTTGGCTTTTTCCAGCAGCTTAACCGTCATGTTACCAGTACCAGGTCCCACCTCGAGCACCACGTCTGTCGGCCTCAAAGCAGCCTGAAAAAGAGACGCGTCACAGTTCAGTTAGATCAGCAGCCTCTGCATGATTGTCCACTTCTTTTTTAAAACACATATTTTACATTTTGTGAATATTTGTTAAAATTTTTGTCTGTAGCAGCATCAGCAAGTACTTCCCACCTTTTCAATAATCCCATTGACAACCAGAGGATTCTTCAGGATGTGCTGGCCGATGCCAGTGTTGAACATGATCCCTGCAACAGAGAGCAAACTGAGCACTGCATGCTGGTCATGTGTGACGACTATGGTCATTTATATATGAACAATTATATCTGTTTATATGTCCTAAGCTCACATTTTAAGCCAAGGATAAATCCATCCATGCCAGCTCATCTAATCCCATGAAAAACATCTATGAAGCTCTTGCAAAATCTAAACGTTATACTATACTTTTTTGCTTGTTCCCTTGCTAAGATGAATATGAGCCATTTTTCACAGTTTCTACTAAATTGGATTTTAATGCACTACAGTCCTCCTTCTGTATATACACAGCAAGAAACCCCCAAGGCTCATTTTGCAGATAAACAGCTCCTGCTGAAAATTTTATAATCATCATTACTCAAACACTGCATCTATTGCAGATGGGTGAACGTTGCACTGCTTTTTGTTCAGTGGAGTTAACATTCACCTGGCAGTGAGACAGTATTAAGGAATCACACAATCCCGTCCAGAAACCGCTGAGAAACATGACCACAGCTACAGGTTAAAAAAAATAATTATTTCCTGCGCTCATAATTGGCACCAAGATGCCATTTTTCTTTGCATCCATCCTCCTTTTTAAAAATCTTCTGCACTTCTCTCAGCCTTCAGGTAGGAATGAGTTTACAGTTCAGCCTGCCTGTTCATCAACTAAGTTTCCAGATGGTCATACTTCTAATTTCATTTAAATTCATGCATACAGCCTCAGATCTGAGGCTGTATGCATGTGGACTTTCAATGTTGCTCCCTTTTCTCCATGCCCATCTATTCCTGTGGAATAAAATGCATACTGTAAAGTTGCAGCACCAATTCCCCCACCTTCCACGGTCAGTCACGACTACTTATTACAAATATCAAACGCATCTCGCAGAGTGACATTTTAATTAGTTTGATGTTTTTCCAACAGACAATACCAAACAACAGAAAGCTTCATAAAGTCTGGCTCTCTTCCAATAGCTGCCAAGAATCAAGGAAGGCCACCTTTCCAAGAACTCGTGGTGGACTGAGGTTTGTTTCAGCCTGCAATGAATTAGTCAGGATCAGTGGTCTGGTTTGCATGAACAGTAATGAATTACTGGCTCAGCCTCATGATTTGACTTCAGTATAGCTTAAATATTTTTGTGGCTGGGCCCTTAAAATGTATCAGGGAATCTGACACCACCAAGCCCCAAACAAGAGTCTGGCTGAGTTTGTTGCTCTGTTATCAGTAAACATTTTTCATTGATATTTGAGGTTCAGGGTGCTTGCAAATGAAATAACCACCACCATGAAAAAAAGAAAAAAAAAAAATCAAAACGAGCATTTTAACATAATGACAAAAGACATTTATTTACATATCAGGAATGACTTTCAACATTTCTTCATACATAAGCCTCTTTGGGGAATATTTACATTCATAATATTGCAAAATAGTAATAAATCTACATGTTAGAACTGTTACAGTCAGTTATGTTTCTCTGATCTTGATTAAGCATAAACAATTTGTGTTTACGTCATTTGTTCACCTCCTAAACAATGCATACAGAAAATAACAGCGGAAGCAGCTGGACTAAATATCGCAGTTAGCACAAATTAACAATTTGCAGGAAAAGAAACTTTCAAAAGAAACCTTTTAATTGAAGTAGCTGGTGGGCTGGAGTCACTGAAACGTTTCCACGTCAACACAAGTGACGACATTTACAGCAGTGCTTCATGTTAAATGCTGTGACTGCTAAAACAGCGATACATCAGCTCAATATGCAAACACTGCAGACACGATGACTGACCCCGTCTCTAAAGTCTGGCATGCTAACATGCTAATGCTAACGCACCCCGTTCAGAAACGTACCTTGGTTTTTGACCTCTTGGTGCTGTCTGCTTTTCTTCACCGCTTTGACCTTCGGCATTTTACTTTATTTTGTCCTACTTAAAGAGCTACAAAAATCCAAATTGTAAGTAATTATCCAGAGTAAGGCTGGCTGGACTTTGTAAACACGTGTAGTCCTTCCTCTATGCTGCTCCTTCTCTTCTTCAGTGACACGCTGAGCTGCAGGTTTCATCTGTTGGCTCGCTTCCTCCGCGCCCTCTGGTGGCGATCTGGCGGCATTGCTTTTACTTTTTCAAGATGAAACAAACTGTTTTTGAAACAGTTTGACACACACGCGCGCGCACACACACACACACACACACACACCATCTTTACTCAGAGATGGGAAACTCCTCGAGTGTCATGGCGATGTCTCGAAGTTTGGGATCATCAAGCCAGTTGACTTTACAGGCCAAGAGAATGCCCTGAAGAGGAAAACAAACATTAACATACAACCAACAAAACTGCGAGTGAGTATCATACATTCAGTCATAAACTGTACTGACTGTTTTTTCTAAAGTTTACCCTGAGGACATTTTGGGTCATGATGGCCATCTTTTTATATTTTTCCAGGTTTGCTTGGCCTTTCTCTAACGCAGCTTTGTACTTTTCCATGTCTGGATACTCTTTCTTTGAAGACTCCTCCATGTGTTTGATCTTCTCATGCGTGAGCCGTTTCATCTCTGCAAGCAGAAAGTACTACTTTAATCTGGAGTCGAAACAATAAATAACTAAGAACTTTAACTGTGAAAGACATCCGATTTCTTTCTCGTAAAGCATACCAAGTCTGTTCTTCTGTATTTCTGTAACCTCATCTTGAAGTTTTTTGGACTCCTGTTGGAAAAATAAATAGTAGATTAGGGTATAAAACCCTCAACTTTAAGTAGCACTTTAACCTGTAGCATTTATGTTGAAGAATAAAGGTCGTCATGCCAAGTATTGACTTGGACAGATCCTGTGTTTGCCTTATATACACTGCACTTCCATGAACGTTTTCATGTTTCAATAAAGATCAGAACACATTATCCATTTTCCAAGCAAAATATCAAATGAGGGTTGACTCAAGACCTTTGCACAATACTATAAGTGATTACAATACCCTAACAAAACAAATTGTCTAATATAGGAAATCCCATAAAATTTTAAACACACAAAGCACTTCAAAGAAGAACAGACTTAAGCTGCTCACCTGTTGAAGGTGTTTTATGTGTGAACAAAGACCCATGCAGCGGTCACTTATGGCTTTCAGAGCACTGAGGGAAAAAAAACAAAACAAATGTTTTGATAAAAATAATTAAATATTTCAGCTGTTTCTGTATGTTGTCAGTTGACTTACTCTGCTTCAGAGTCACTCCAGTTCAGCTTTTCTCCGATAGCGTGCCACATCTGCATTCTGAAAGACGGAGACAATCAATGATCTGTCACGAAAAACATGAGAACATCTGAACTCCAAAAACAAATAATACAAGCAGCAGTTTACCTGTGCAGGGTCAGTGTGCTGTTAAAATGAAGCGTCTTCACCCTTTCAAGCTCACCGATATATTCTGGCCTGAAACGAACAAGTGTCAACATCTTTTTTCCCCTTTTTTATTTAACATTTGGCTTTAAAACATCAAATACTCACAAGTCTCTCTCTGCTTCAGATGTGCTGCATGACCTTTTATTTTTTTCTATCAGGGGAAACTTAAAATTAATTTCCATTTCTGCTCTTAAAAAATAAAAACAAATTTATTCAAGAAAATTGTTTTATACCTGCGTTGAGCTGTACTGCCATCTCAAAGCACTGGTTGGACATCTGTTGCTTTATTCTGTAAAGAAAGTAAAGACCAGAGGTGACGTGTGCGGCACAGCTGGATCAAAAACTGACCTTCAACACCAATGTTGGGGTGAGAGATACAAACCTCAGCATGTCTACAGGTGACGTGTCTTTCTGTCCGGTGGCACCTTCAGCAGCAGGAACATCATTTCGCTCCATAGTCCCCACCATGTGATTGAGTTTCCCCTGGCTGTCAGATGACTCCATCACCAAAAAAAAGAAAAAAAAAAAGAAAAGAAAAAAAAAGAAGAAAAACCGAGTGAAGATTCCTGGAGAGACAAATCAAACCACAGAAATGTGGGTTTAATCCAACATAAGAAACTATAGCTCATTAAAACTCAGACTGACTAATATGCACTAATATACAGAAAATAATGGCATTTAACTTGAAGTCTGCCAGTCATCAAGTTTTTTTTGGTTTTTTGTTTCAGTGGCCGAAACAAGTATACTCATCTCAACATACAAAACACATCATACAGCCTTACACTCATTCATAATTCATACATGCAGCTGGTGCAAAAAAAAAGGCCACAAATCATGAGCAAGACAGAGTTAAACTTAAAGTTTTCAGCAGCCAAGCTGAGGAAGGCTGTTTCAAAATACAAACTTATCAACTCAAACATGTGAAAAAATTATTTGAAATTTCAATTAGTAAGTCAAAATGTTGAGATTGTGATAAGAAATTCTGGCTTAGTGTCTTATTAATAGTCCCACTTGGCAGAAACAAGCTTGTATAAAAATACCATATTTTAAGTGGGGATCGGCAAATACCCCACAATAAAATATTATCACAATTTGATATGCATTAAGATTTTATGATATACTAAGTTTCAATAACTTTTAAAATAACCAATTATGTTCTCAAAGTTAAACTTTGTCTGTTTTATCCAATAAGCACACCAACACTGTCAATAAACCTGGCATAGCTGTATTGCCATAAGACAGACAGGCCAACTGTATGCAACTGAATTTTAATTACAGTTGTTGTTAATTACATCCAATCTGTTCCTGATAATACAACAGTTAACAGTGATAAGCTGTCTGAAAATACCAAATGTGAATTTGTGTCCTCGTAGACGTCAACAGAAATTCACTTTTAACTGTTAAATTTGTGCTCAGCAGCCTTTCTGCTCTATAGGAATATGACCAGAATACAACCAGCTGGAGGCCATTTGAGTCGAGTCTCCTCATTAACAAAGACTTGTTCAAACTGATGGCGACATGTTGGCAATCTGTCTGCATTTATAAATTAGACAGCAAGTATTTGATAACAAGTATATTTCTGACTGGCAAACTGTGACTGAATACAGAAGACTGCCTCCTATTAAACGACCAATGCAATCACCTTGTGATCAAGTGGTTGTGAGTGGTGGCCAGCGGGCAGACAGACAGACAGATGGTTTTTCAGTTGACCAGAAAACTGCACAACGTTATGTAGAAAAAGAAAATCCAGGCAGATTCTGCAGGTTGCACCAATGAATTGTCTGGTTTCCTTGCTGTACGCCTCCACCGTAACCACTGAGCTCAGTGGTTTGCAAACAGTAAGCAGTTTTGTTGTGCAAGTGTCAATCTTCAGATAATGCACGGAAACGCAGCCAAGATACGAGCAAAGAGGCTTCTGTGACTGAGGCTCCTGCCACCTGTTCATTGCGACACAGTGAAACCACTTCTCAAATCACTTTAACCTGCCGCTCCAGTCATCTTATATAAAATCATCATCACTGGTAGTTCAATCGCTTCACGGTGCTATGCTTAGCACCTGTGTAAAAGCACCCGCAGTAATTTGTCACCCATCAGTTTTACAGTCACACAAAGTAAAGCGCAGGCTTCTGATGTCGTAGAAGCTGAAACTGTACTTCAGTGCAGCTCTGCTTCTGCGCTGTACACACACATACAGCAGCCTTAATCAGAGTTGATGCTCGTCTTTATACGGTTACAGCGGCCCTTTTCAGCACCTGTCAGCGTAGCGCTAAAACTAATATCGGTTTATTTAAAATAAAATTTTTTACCTCTCTTAACGGAATTGATGATGCTTCAAGTCCAAATGACATCAAATAAGCACCGTCTGCTGAACCTCTGTTAGCTTCGGCGTTACACTTGCTAGTTAACGTCAGTCGCTCAGTGTAACGGCGAGTTACAACTCTTCACAAGCTTTCATCTGTGTGAAATACGGTTGTTAATTAGCAAGAAAATGCGCAATAGGTAATCAGTTTTGTCACCGCGTTAAATTGTTATTGTTTTTCTTTGTCAGGGATTAGCAAACCAGCCTACAAGTTCAGTACCGCCACCTGTCGGACAGGAGGGTAAAACTGAAGACAAGCAGGAGAACACTCATGCACCTTCAGCAAGGAGTTGGTTTCACTCTCTTTAATGCTCATTTTAACGTTTTAAAAGAAACAAAGCCCACCCTTGCCCACAACATATTAACCGACTTCTGGATAATTGGCCTATAGCTGAACTACTAGTTCATAATGTTAACCAACCATTAAATGAGTTCAGTGATTCTTCTCTATTTATGTCTTCCACTTTACTCGTATAAGGACCTGATATACAAGCATTTCACTGTGCATTACACTCATATAACTGTGTGTGTGACAACATCCCAATGTGTTTAATCTTTCTTTTTAAAGAATTAAGTTTGGCTATTACATTTTTACACATAATAGCCCAGTCATTAAAAAATTAAGAACTAAAAAAAGATGTATATGTATGAAAAGGTCATGTCTTCAGAAAACTAATACGTTTTGAACAGTGAGTCTCAGGAGGAGAAAAAACTCAGCTCAATACATTTAAGCATACAGAGATGGTCACGCTGACTTGCTGAAGTTCAAACTTAAAATCAGAATGAAGAAGAAAGCTGATTGACATTACTTTAAACATGGCACGATTGTTGGTGTTAGATGGGCTGGTCTGAGTAGTTTAGATACTGGAGATCTACTAGGATTTCCCCACAGAACCATCTCTAGTGTTTATAGAGAATGATCTGAAAAAAAAAAAAACTGTCCAGTCAATGGCAGTGTTCTGGGGTAAAACACAGTGTTAATGTCAGAGGAAGGGTAGAATGACCAGGTAATAATCACTCGTTACAACCAAGGTATGCAGAAGAGCATCTCTGAATGCACTACATGAAACAGATTTACTACAGCAGCAGAAGGCCACAATGGGGGCCACTCCTGTCAACTAAAAACAGGAAACTAAGGCTACAGTTTGCACAAGCACATGACAACAGAAGATTGGCAAAAACAAAAAAATTACTGGTCTAATGAATGTTGACTTCTGTTCTAAATTTCAGATGGTAAGGTCAGGATTTGGTGTAAATTACATTAAAGCATCCATACTGGCTTGTTTCAATGGTTCAGGCTGCTGTCTGTGGTGTAATGGCCTGTTAGAGATTCTTTGTACACTTTGGGTCTCTTAGCTGAAAATCAATTAAATACCACAGCGTTCCTGAGTATTGTTCCTAACCAAGTCAATCCTTCTATAACTACACTGAATCCAACTTATGACTGCTATTAAGAACAGTATCATTACACAATGTCACAAATCTCACATTATCTCAAACTGGCTTCTTGGCTAAGATAGTGAGTCCGCTTTCCTCAGGCGCCAGATCTCAATCTAATACACCAAATCTGGGATGAACTGGACTTGGAGATACTCATTATGAATGTGCAACTGCTGCAAATCTGCAGCAACTGTGTGATGCTATCGTGCCAACATAGACCATGAATAAGGAAGGCAGTTCTGGGGGTCGAACCTAGTGCTAGCAACGTTTACCTAACGAAGTGCCCGGTGAGTGTACCGTTACAGAAAAATAAAGTGAATCCTCAAACTAAGAACAAGCACCCGAGTCACTACACAGAAGAGTAAACACATGCATTATTTTCATATAACGTCATTTAACGTGTTTTCAGCTGGTTATAACTTAGCGTTAAAACTACTTCGGTTTACATATAAGTCTTACCTCGATTGAGTTAGGTTAACGCTGTCTTATGTCAAGATTAAAAAAAGAAGACGAAGAAGCAGAGGTTAGTCCCTGGCGTCGTCGTTACACTCGCCCGTTAAAGTTAACAATTTTTTGCTTATCAAAATGTCACCAGCTGCAACACATCAAACTGTTTACGCCGCGCGACTTAATTTTATAACGACGCCGTCCCGCCAAGAAACACGTAACGGAACGTCACCATACGTCACACGTCTGCCTGTGACCAGAACCAACGCTCAACTGAACTTTCAACTTTCAAAGGCTCTGCCTGTCACACATCAAGGGATGCGGCGCCCCCTGCTGGTCGAGAGGGAAAACACATGTGTGGACAAATACAACAGGTTTGTTTTCTTTATTATACCGTTTACCATAGTTACTATAGCTACTATAGTTAACCCGCATGTATATGAAATGAAATACTTGCTTTTTAAAAATATTAGTGGCTGAAGAGTGGTATGAAACCAATGTACATTTTTTATATACAAAAACAAAAGTATTCTTCATTCAAGACAAACACATTTTATTGAAATACGCCTTTTATTCCTTTACTTGCAAAGTTTTGTCTCATCATTCTCTCTCTACTATTTTCAAGTATTTGCTCTTGAGAGTAAAAGTGTTAGACACGGTGCCATAAATCATACAATGAACCACGAGTTTAGTTGTGACCCAAGGTGTTTCCCCTGCACGCTGAACTGACGATCTCGCCTCGACTTTCTGAGGTCCATCAAACAAAACAAACCAGGATGAGGTTCAGGTCTGATGCAAGATTATGATTTGTGTAAGCAGCAGTGTAATTTACACTTCTACACCTGACACAGTTAAAGCTGAAACACTATTTTACATGCATTTTTTTTCTATATGTAAACTATGCCTGACATTTATTCTTCTGACTGGATTAATTTATTGAAGCCATTCTTACTTCTTCGATTGATTAGGTAAACGCTTTAGGTTGAATCAGGTAGGGTTTTTCAAACAGTCGCAAATTGCAATAGCCTCCCAAAGCAGGACACCACAAAAACTTCGCAATTTGATCTAACATCAAGCAGGATTAAACACATGCAGGGGCCCAAATAAGCATTTCCATAACACATGACAAACCTTAAATCTTTTTATGCCGATTACGTCGACTGATTATGGATGATGTACTTATAGGCGAATTTGATGCCATCTCAAAGTGAAAAGCGACAGGTTCCACCGAGATTTGAACTCGGATCGCTGGATTCAAAGTCCAGAGTGCTAACCATTACACCATGGAACCCTTTGTTCACGTAGCTGGTATGCACACGCAGGACTTGCGCAAAAGTCCTGCGCAAAATCCCCTTTGGCGCACTCTACTCAAAAGCCAAAATAAGGTTTTATTTTTCAATTAATTTCATTGAATTGATTGAGTAAATCCCATTTAACTGAGTCCCCTAAATCAACGGGCTCTGTGTTTCATTGTGTGTGAATGTATGTGTCTGTACCAGTGCGTGATTTCAGGTATTTGGAAATAAACTGGGCTGTTAATATGGAGGTTTTGTTAGGCGATAGTCCAGTGAAATCCAAAAGAAGATTTAAAAAAAAAAAAGGAACACGCGGTTCTTCAGAAATGTTCAGCCGTCTATCCGAAATCACCCAAACTTGCTCCTGATACTCGTAGGAGATGTTCAGCATTTTGCAGTATTTTTAAATGAACGTCTTTAAAACTACAGGATCCCAGAGGTCCCAGGGATCTGTTTAATAATGCAAACACAGTGCTCTATAGGTTGTTGTGGTGGGAGGCAGTCTTCGTTGGAACCCATTAAGGATTTTTTTCTTTGCATCATTAGGAGAAACAGACCCTGGTGAGGGACTCACTTTTATCTATCTCAAGGCTGTGACCATTAATGGGGAATGCTATTTTCCATCCCTGTCTTCTGTAACAGCCCAGCCAACGTGTAAACAACAGGAGCTGTGTAACTCAATACCAGTTCCCTCCTCTGAACTTAACTATGTAAGCTGAGACACATTCTTTTCTTCAGTTTTTTTCAACTACTTTATTACTTCAAGGTTAGTGGTTTTGGACTACATCATCATTATGATGGCAACTAAATCCTCCCACAGTCCAAAGACAAGCGGGTTAAACTAATAAGTGGCTACTCTGACTTGGCTGTAGGTGTGAATGGCTGTCTGTATGAGTCATCCCACTGATCCCCTGTGACCTGAACATAAAGTTGGTTCACACGGCTTCCTGCCCTTCCTCTAAAAAGAAAGAGGGAATGAACTGTTTTATGTTAGATGATTTCAGGGGCCTTCTAGAAATGGGGTCATTCAGTTACTTCAGAAAATGAGCTGTCAATCTAATTGGTGAAATATTTTAAAAAGTTATTATTCTGTGCATCTAACTATTATTTAATTCATTTCGGAAAAAAGCTGCATTGTTTTTATTTTCTAAGCTACCACAGTTACGTGCCCTACTCAAGCGGAATCTCTAATGTTGCGTTCACGTGCTTTTTGGGATACAGCAATGCAGACTCAGTGTCCTCAAAGCTGGCTTGCATTAGTATAGCAGTCAGTAGTAACATGGTAAGTAACTGCTGCTAAAGCAGCTTTCCATGGGATTACAAACGTTAATGCAGACCGCTCTTTCTATTTACATAAAGTCTCCAATGTTTCATAAATAGACCGCAGTGTAGCTTTCAGCACTCAGTTTTGCCTATTTCCCCGTGTCTCCGAGTTTATCAATATAGTTCCGATATATCTCAGTGCACCTGAAGGCATCATATTTTGCGTCTGTGGTCCTGCTGGGTGAACACTGAAGACAACATGGTAATGTGAGTTTGGAGACGATGCTACCCTTTTACACAGACCGGAGGGAGCCCCGTGTAACGCTCATGTGTGCTCTCGGCGTGGCGTATCTGAACGATGTCTGCTTTGGTGTCGTGCTTCATGATTAGAAAGGGGCTCTGGAGCCGAGAGAATAACAGAACCCAGCTGACAGGCGGATCGACCGTTGGACTGGTAAACACTCGGGCGCCTGTTATGTGTCAGAGCCGAGTCTTTAACGGCCGGGAAAGCTAATGGCAGAGGTAACGGCTGCTCGATGATGCGATAGACGTCCAAGTTGAAAGCAGGTGGGCCAGAGATGGGACATGAAACCGCACTGCTTCAAATTCATCCACTCGAGCGAAGGAGGATAGCCCCCCAGGCGAAATCTCCTCGGAGAGCAAACGGTTTGGTAAACGACGTTACAGCGCTGTGAGGCTCTCCGTTTCACGCCCCACTCCCAGACAGTGCCACCGCAGCATATTCCCGTTTCATCACTTGACAGAGATGTCCTTTACAATGGAGGATAATTTGGAGTCGGGGTGGGTAGCCGTTCGCCCGAATGCGTTTGAGGAGAAGGAGAAGCATAAATTTGTTTTCATCGTCGCTTGGAATGAGGTGGAGGGCAAATTTGCCATTACGTGTCATAACAGGACGGTGCAGAGGAGAAGCTTTGGTAGGGACCCTCCTGTGGAGGTGACTGGTCTGGAGGGGGACAAAACAAAATGGCTCGAAAGTCCCGTCAGGGATATAGCGTCTAGCAAAGGAGCCAGTGAGGCTAAAGCATGCAGCCCTAAAACCAAGTCCCTGTCAAAACATAGTCCTGTCAAAATTCAGACTGCGACTAAACCCGTTGCTTCGCGGGTTAGCCCCGACACCGACGCGTTACAATCACTCAGAGAGGACCAGATGTCTCTATCACTGGACTGCCTGGACCTGGAGGAGCTGGACAGCCTGAGCAGGGAGGACTGCAGCTGGGCCGGACTCTTCTCCTTTCAGGACCTTCGGGCAATCCACCAGCAGCTGTGCTCGATAAACTCCGTCCTGGAGCCATGCCTGCCGGTGTTTCCAGAGGAGCCGGCCGGGATGTGGACGGTGTTGTTCGGCCCGGCGGAAGTATCCGAAACAGAAATGGACGAACTGTGCTTCAATTTACAGGTGTACTTGGGTCACGCGCTCGACACCTGCGGTTGGAAGATACTTTCCCAGGTTCTCTTCACGGAAAATGACGACCCGGATGAGTACTACGAAAGCCTGAGCGAACTGAGGCAGTCCGGGTACGAAGAGGCGCTCAACCGAGCAAATAAACATCTGCAGGAGGTGAGTTTTGAGATCCTCCCACAGCCTGTCTGTGACACAAGTGTGTCCGCACATCTGGAAAATTAAGATGCGCTGCACTTACCAGACCCGATTCATTGCACAGGGTATTTATTTTATTTATGTACAAAATTTAACAACACAAAAACACACAAACTCAGAAAAAACAACAAAAAAAACCCCCCCAACCTAATATTACATGAGATTCACCTACAGTAAGACTTCAAAAAAAAGTCCAGTATGCAAGCTGGAGCTCTTTCTTCTACCAGTATGCTGAAGGCACAAAAACTCCCAAAGTGGATGTAGAACTGCTAGAATAATAGTCACTGTACAGGACACTAACTCCGGGTTTGCTTTGAATAATCATGAATACAGCAAGAAAACTTATGAGACAAACACTTCAGAGAGGCTAATTTGGTCATTTCCATTTTGCTATAATAAATCTGTTCTATGTAGGTTAGACAGTTATAGCAGGCACACTTAAAACACACAAAAAAGAGTTAAACAGAAATGGCTGAACTATTGAAACCAGATTTATTTGCTTGATTAGTTAAGATTGGAAGTTTTTATTTTATTTTATTTATTTTTGCATATCTATCATTCTATGCATATATTATACTGCATTAGTGTGTGTTGTTTGTCATTAAAGCTAAGAATTAGAAGTTCCAGGGGTACTGATGCATCCTCCAGTATAGCCTTAAGGTTTTATTTTTCTTTAAATGATAATTTTAAAAAAAACACTACGATGCGTAATAACTAAAAATAATAAACCCAGAATTAATGAAAATAAAAAGGCATTTCATTTCCACTACTGTCACAGGACAGACGTCACAGGACGAGAGGAGACAAATAGAATCACGTTCCCTTTGAGTAGGAAGCTAGTTTCTGAGGTTAGAAAGAATGAACAAAGTTCAGTTAAATTCAGTTTTATTTATAGAGTTCTAACTCACAACAACAATGTTGTAAGTTAGAACTCTATAAATAAAGGCGCTTTATATTGTCACAACAATCAGGCGACCCCCTATTAGCAAGCACTTGGCGACAGTGGGAAGGAAAAACTCCATCTCACTCACCTAAAATTCTAAGGGGACTGAAGTGTGAAAAAAACAGATCACATGAAGT